TACTATCGTGAAGAAATGAAGTAAGATGATATCTGAGTAGTTCGCTATGCTATGTATATTAATACGAGCTGATATATCGTCTAATAAAATGTAGACATACATAGAAAAAATAAGTGTGGTCATAATGTGTATGCAGAAAATAGTAAGCAGATCGAAGTCTAGTACCGTTGTATTAGATGTAGGAGATGCATACCGGGATCGTCAAATGAGCTGAATCCTTCAGCAATAGAACAATCTGTAAGAAAAGTCTTATTGCACAATAGGACGTACTAATCACGGCGCAGCTCGGAGAACATACTCATGTTTGGTCAACCTTGGACACGGAACTGCGATTCCGGTGCGGGTACTGGCGGCGGCGTCGGCGGCGAGGCGCGCGAAGACGACGTCGAGGGGCGTGCCGGCGCGCAGGCTGGCGGCGGCGGCGGCGCACGAGGCGGGCAGGGCGCCTGTTGCTGGGTCGCGAAGGAAGAGGTCGATGTAGGCCTCGGCGCGCGGGGCGGCGTCGGGGCCGGCGGTGGCGAGCTTGGCGAGGACGTCGTCGACGGAGGGGGCGGTGGCGGCCTGCGAGGTGAGGGCGCGGTGGATGGCGTGGGCGCCGGCGGCCCAGTCGTAGGTGGTGGCAGCTTTGGTGGTGGTGGTGCTGGTGGTGCTGCTGCTGTTCGTGGGTGCAGCGCCGGCCTCCGTGGTGGTGCCGTTGGCGGCGTGGCCCTCGTCTGCGTGGCCCTCGAGCGCGGACAGATACGCCTGGCGGCCCATGAGGCGTTCGGCTTGGGTGCCGGCGGCGGCGTCGCGCAGGGTGCGGCGGTACCAGCGGGCCTTTTCGCGGGCGATCATGGCCTCAATGTCGGCGGCCTCGGCATCGCGGGCCTTGAGACGGGCGAAGAGGGCGTCGAGCGCCGCGGGGAACGAGTCTGGGTCCTGGTCCTGGTTCTGGTCCTGGTTCTGGTTCTGGTCCTGGGACGGGGTCGAGGCGGCGAGCCATGAGTCGGGCGCAGGCTCGGCGTAGCGTTTGCGCAGCGACTCGACAAGGTCGTCGTAGGTGGCCGTGTAGCGGACGCGCGCATCATGGTTCTCGTGGTGCTGGGACCAGGCGTTGCGCGTCGACTCGATGGCGGCGGCGGTCTGGGCGTGGGCGGTGTGCTGGGCTTGCAGCTGGAGCCAGGGTTCGACCATGCTGGATGAGCCTTAATCCCTGGTTGTGTGGCGATGAGATGATGGAGATGGTGGAGATGGTGATGAGAATCTGTTTGAGGTGAGAATGGCTTCAGTTGTGATGCATTGGCCAGAGGAGGCATGGAGGAAGCATGGAGGAATGGTCGTTGCGCTCTGTGAGGTGATGATGGAGTGTGGGGCGGAGTGTGGGGCGGAGATGGCTTCTCGGTTTTACACGGCGCTGGACGGATCGGTGGGCTCCACCGTCCGTTGTCACGAGTTGTTCTCCGTTAAAAACGGTGTCCCATTCCGTATCAAGACTACAATTGTTCGCAATTTACCTGGCTACCACCTAAACACCTTACTTGACATTACCAGACACCCTGCCCAGAGCTTCTCCTCCTGCCGCCGCCATGGTCCAGCAGCGACTGACCTGCTCTCACTCGCTTCCACTCTCGCTCTGCAAGGCGCGAGCAATCACGGTGGCCAGGCCGAGCATCTTCTCTTCCTCGAATCGCCTGCCGATCAACTGCAGGCCTACGGGCGCCCCGTGGTACACGTCGGCATCATCTGTCATCCATCATTAGCAGACCTTTCAGCAGATCACCCTGACGGCCAGAGAGCTGACCGCCACCCTGGGGAGAGAGGGAGAGAGGGAGAGGCAGAGACGAACAATCCTTCCACACCTCTTCGTCCACGGTGTTCATCGGCACGTAGTGCTCATCGAATACATCGACGTCCCGGTCGCACGTCGTCGTCGGCATTGTTATGGCAGAGTAGTCGAGAACATTGACAAACGTCGCGTATCCTGGCCCCCCGCCCCAGCAATGTCAGTCAAGGAACACGAGTGGCACGGGGCGGAGGTCGGGCCATCTTCCTCACCGTAGTAGCCAAACTTCTCCTGTTGAGGGACCGCGTACGGCGCAATGGGAGCAATCACCGCCGTCACAGCCTCCTGCGCGTCGGTGAGCGCCGACGTGCTGTTCCAGTAGTCCATGTACTCCTTCTGGTATGTGCGCTTCTTCACATGGAGAGCCGCTATTTCCGAGCCGCTGCTTTCCTCATATCCTGCCAGACCATACGTCCGCACAATCGGTTTCGACATGGGCTCCCTCGACAGCGCAAACGCACGAAACACGTCACGCCCACCGTCGAGCAGATACGCATGCGTCTAGCCATCATGTCAGCACGGACGAGGCCCGGCACGTGACGGACGGACGAAGCCCGGCACGGGACGGACGGACGAACGTACCGCTATTTCCATTGCGCGTTCGTGGCTCGGAGGTTCCCACGCCACAACGGTGTGGCCGAGCGACTTGAGAGTGTCGGCCATCTTCTTCATCGCGCGTTGGACTGGTGGCTGCACGGAAACGCAGCCATCACAGGCAAGAATCCCAAACACAAGAGGCTTGGGACTGTCGACCGTGTTCTGGAACAGGGATGCCCGCCATGGAAGCTCCACCACCAACGGATCATGCAGCCACGGCTGCTGGCTGAGCACGGCTTCCGTGAAGACCTTGACCGCCTCGACCGAGTGGGCCATGGGCCCGAGCACGCTCAGGACAGAGCTCTGACCGTCCATGCTGTTCGCCATGCCCTCGTACGGAAACCTGCCGCTCGACGGTCTCAGTCCGTACAGGCCGTTGAAGCCAGACGGAAACCGGATGCTGCCTCCAATGTCCGTCCCGACGCCGAGCGGGCTCCCCCGGAGCGCGAGCAGCGCGCCTTCTCCGCCAGAGCTACCGCCTGCCGTCAGCAGTCTGTTCTTCGGGTTCGGCACGTAGCCTACAATGTTGTTGAACGTTTCACCCGACATGAGCGTGTGGGGCACGCTTGTCTTGCAGTAGAGAACAGCGCCGAGCTGTCGCAACTCGCGCACGAGTTCGCTCTCGAACACCCTCTCCTTGCCGGTGCCCTTTCGTCCCTGAAAGGTGCCGATCCATCCGACGTAGCCCATGGTTGTTTCCACACCCCGCACATGGAATTGGTCTTTGAGACTGATCGGCAGACCGTGAAGAGGTCCCTTGAGCTGGCCCGTCGCCGCAAAGTACTCGTCCAGCTTTTGCGCCTCGTCCAGGGCCGCGTCAAAGAATATCTCGTGCAGGCAGTTCGTCTGACAAGCAATCGACACATTTCAGCAACTTGGCCAGTCTGCGTCAAGGGGCCATGACGTACCATTTGATGGGCCAGCGCGGCTCGGTGACAGAAAGCCTCGGCCATGTCGCGCGCTTTCCACTGGCCCTCGCGAACGTGGCGCAGAATAGTTGACACGTCGGACTCGGTCATGTCGACCTCATCTTTCGTCAGGTATTGGCGGATGTAATCGCCCGTGATATCCCGCTGGGCATCAGGCGGAGGCGGACCAGAGATCACCCAGGGAGCGGGGATCAGATCGATCACGGACTGTCGCTTCTCGGCCGCAGCCGTTCGCCAGTTTACCATGTTGCAATTCCGGCTGGTGTAAGATGAATGATGCAGTGTGACCCGCGAAGTCCCAGCTGGCTTGATGCCGTTTTAAAGTAGCACGCTGTTGAAGGGGGGAATATTGTGTGAGACGAAGCACCCGGAGCTTCGTGACCGAGACGAAGGTCAGCTCACGAAGCGGGGAAGGGCCTTGGCGTCAGCACCGCAGGAGTTGCTCCTAGCCAGCATTCTGGTGATACCCGATAACAGCGACTGCAGTCGTGGACTGACTGGACGACTGCCTCCGATGGCCCAGTGCCCGCACGTCGGACTCTGTGTGTAGACACCAATGACAGCTGAATCTGGCTGGGTCGTGCTACCGTGTGGGTGAGAACGCATCATTGGTGGCTCAACATGGGATGGTGTACACGGAATTGTCGTGCCCCAATCCCGGTCCGTTGACCCCAACTCACCATTCCAAGCGTTACAATGTCTTTTGCCTGCGAGGGAATCATTGCCTCCAACTCCAATGCCTCCAACTCCAGTGCCTCCGGCACCTCCAACATCGCTACCATCTCCAAGACTTCCAGCCCCTCCAGCTCCATAGCCACCAACGCGTCCAAATTCGAGGCCTCGCGCAGCAGGTGGTAGATAAGTGTTGGAGACATGGAAGCCAACGGCGGGGTATATTGGCAGGCCGTCGGCAGATACGCTGGACCCAATTATTGGGAGCAAAGCGGGAATCCCGATTACTTGCAGATACAGAGCCCCGTCAAAATAGCCACTAGCGCTAGATCACAACTCAAGATGATCACTTGGAGACGATGGAATCGAGATGCCCCACGGACTAGCAGCGAGTCACATGCCAAGATCCGGGGAAGCGTACGTGATGGCCATCGTTGGTAACATCTTATCAGGCACCGGGGGTTCAATATATGAACCTCGCGAGGCCACGCCCACAATGGCCTCTGTCGCTCTCGATGTACTCACTCTTGTGGACACTACTTCTCCTTCGTACTTCTGCACGTTTCTTCAGACCATATTTACATCAAGAGCTCGGGCGAGGAACGCAAGTTGCACCGCTACTCAGCCGCCATGGCATCTCTGAAGGAGGGCACCGTCGGCAACCCTGACCAGAAAGACACGAGCGAGCTGGAGAAGCTTGGCGAGAGTTACGCTGTGGAGAACCCCGGCGAGGTGTTTGACCAGAGCGAGTACCGCGCCCTGGGATGGTACGCTCTTCTCCTCCATGGCTACTGCCAGATATCGTCCATCTCGCTGGAGCGGACCTAACATGACGCATAGGATTCCTGCTGCCGTTATACTCCTCACGTTGTGCTTTGCCACGGGCGTCCTGGCGATTCCTGCCACGTTCAGCGTCCTGGGCTATGTTCCGGGACTGCTCGTGCTCCTCGGCTTTGGGGCTCTGACGACATGTATAGCTCGCTGCCGTTCCCGAAACCCCTTCACGCGAGGAAAGACTAACGTGCTGTTCAAGACTATGCTTATATCATGTACGTTATATCATGTACGTCTTCCGGATGCGATATGCCGGCATCCATAACATTGCGGACGCGGCCGGCATGGTGGGCGGCCCTGTCTTGCGCGAGGTGGCTGGCGCTCTGTCATTGTAGCCTGGACGTAAGTAAACCACTGCTCATTCTCGCTGGTCATGCAGAACTACAACGTCTCATACTAAACAGGCTGGCATCGGGGGCGGGTTTTGTTGGCCTGGCGCAAGGGTTCAAGGCCCTCTCCAGTCGCAACGTCTGTAACACCGTGTGGACGCTGGTTGCTGCCGTTTGCACTGCTCTTCTAGCAAGCATCCAGACCCTGGGAAGGGCTCACCATCTTTACCTGGATCGGCTTCGCCTCTCTTTTTACCGCCGTCTTCATCATCGTGTACGTTTGGGGAACGCACGTGCTCTGGGCTGCGCTGACCTTGCGTCCAGTATCGGAGTAACGCAAGTCGACCGACCTGCTGCGGCTCCGCAGGAGGGACCGTTTGACATTGGTGTGGTCACTATCGGTGCCCCAGCTGTTGCACCCGGGCTCACGGCTGCGGTCAATATATTCGGTCAGTCGTCTCCCTGCCTGTTACCATGCACCATGCCTGTTACCTTGCACGGCATGCTCACGGCTCACGTAGCGGCCTTCTCATCGACACCAACGTTCATGCCCGTCATTGCGGAGATGAAAGCGCCTAGAGCTTTTAAAAATTCCCTCTTCTCTTCTCAGATTGTGCTCTTCATCTGCCATGTCACAATGTCACTTGTCGTATACCTGTGCGCCGCTCCTTGTCTCCTACCCTGGTGCGTATCGGGCTAACCTCCTCGTCAGCTATTGCGGCAAATACGTGGCAAGCCCTGCGCTGGGCAGTGCAGGAGGCCTGCTCGTGAAGATTGCCCATGGCATTTCCATCCCGGGCTTCATCATGACCTGCACGCTCCGGGTCCACCTCGCAGCCAAGACCGTCAGTCAGGCCCACGGGCTGCCTCTGCGTCGCCTCGCCAATGGTGTGGGCAGTTAGTCGTCCGCATTCTCCGCCACTCCGAGCATCTGCAGAACCGCAGTTTCACTCACTGGGATGTATGGCTTTACGTGTTCCGGGACGAGCTCGGTGTCCGAAGCTTTGCTGACATGTCCGATGCAGGGGTTCCACGATCGGCATCAGCTCACTCGCGTTCATCTGCGCCGGGGCTGTCCCCTTCTTCAGCTACCTTATCGGATTGCATGGCGCCCTCTGCTTGGCGCCAACGTGTGTACGTTCTCGTCAGGCCGATGTCACTCTATCGTCTTCTGCGTGGGTTTCTGACATTGCGAGCAGCTGGTCATCCCGGCCTGGATGGGGCTTTACATGGACTGGGAGCTCCGACGCACGAGCTGGAAGAAGAGGGGTGTTTGCCATCTCTACATGTTCACGGTCATCGTCGGGCTGTTCATGACGGTCGGCGGCACGACGACCACGATACAGAGCATTGTTGACGCCTACGAGGCTGGCAGTGTTGGGACTCCCTTTAGCTGCACATGATCAGGGCTGGGACTTGGGGTGGTTGAGATGTCGGAGAGTCCGAGCTGAGAGCGAATGAATTACCAAGCGAAACTGTCTAGCCAGCTTAGTTCTTGCCCATCTATCTGGTTCCTGTCAGTTTGGTGTGAATGGGGGCAGAATACCTGCGGCTTCGAGTCACATGGAGGTCGAGTGGGCGGGATTCAGATACGCCAGTACTCGAGACTGATCAACCACACTGCGAACACCAAGCGGACGACCTTTTCACTTTGCCAGGAACGTGATCGAACAAAGGTTCATGTCGGCCAGTCTTCTATCGAATTCTCGAGAGCTCTCCCGCTTCGTTCTTCCTGGATGCATGCGTACGGCACTTGCCTGTAACCACTACCAAGCGCCATTCACGTAATGGAGAAGGATCAAGGACATGGGCTCACGGGCCTGGCTTGCAGAAACATCTTGGACGATGGAGCTAGAATGGCTAATTTTATAGTGTCTCGTTTTACCGATCGGCGAAATAGTATACTACGCCTCTATCAAGAGTACTATCCATAGGATATAGAGATCAAGACGCCTTGTGGCAAAGTTGTCAGGAGACCCTGCGGATTCGCCAAGCAGGGGCCAGCCAGGGGGGTTGGTCAAGGGCCAAGGGCTACGGGAACTGTATATATAGAGGCGCGGAGGGCCCTCCAAGCTGCGGAGGGCCAGAATTCAGACGTATTCCAACCCGCTACCCATCTTCTATCTAGCTGCGGACCACGTGCGGACGACCTCTTCTCTGTGCTCTATCCAACGCTCTGACAAGAATAGCCTCTTCCCTTACCTCGAGGTAACCCTTAGGCCGTATAGCGATAGACTATATACCCTACTCAAAGTCAGGCGCAAGAGACGCGAACGGAGTCTACACAGTAAGATGTTGGAGTATAACGAGATGTTCGACATGAATATCACTTCCATTCCCTAAAAAAGCCAGCGGGGACTATGAAGTCTTTCGGCCGGTGCGGCAAGGTCATCCTCGAAGCCCCAGTGGCTGCCCAGCTGCCTTGTTTCCATTGCCCAGCCCGTCAAGAGCGCGGTAAGGGCTGCGCCCAAAAGTCAACGAGGCAGGTAACGTCAGCCATGAGGAGGGAGTCTATGAAAGGTGAGAACAATGACCTGGAAAGGACGCGTACTTGGGTAGCAGAACTGAGAGCCATGGTTTGGACCCTGATCAGGGCGCAGACAGGCGTTTGCAGATGGGCGTTTGCGGCTGCAGCCCCTGCTGAGAAGGGAAATTTACACACACCAGAAATCGTCGGTTTTCACGCGATATCCTGCCCACCCTTTAGGTATAGTCTTAGCCGACCATGTCAACAGATGCAGAATGAACAGGCCCACTAGAAATGACGTGCAAAGCGCGCCTAACGCCATGGATGGCGGCTCCAGCATCCGGAGTGTCTCAAAGCAAGGGGTCGTCCCGGAGTTGACTCTTTCTACTCGACGAGCAGGAGTCATACCTAGAAGAAAGCAAGAGAGCCGTTCCAGAGACTTGGCGCTACCCAAGAGCAGCATCTAACGGACTGGGCACTGGCCCAGGCCTCTCTTGAATACGCCCCAACGCACATCCAAGTCAAGGGCTTCGCCCAGCACCCTACATGCCCAGCGGGACACTCACCCTTTCGGAAAGGCGAGACTTGTACGCCGGGATTCCGCAGTCAAGATGACCCGAGGCAAGCGGAACGAGAGCTGTCGCGTTCGGGCTGTCACGGCCCGAAGCCTAGGGAAGCTCTTCAACCTCGCAGAGCTCCCTACCTCAAGATCTCTCCATGTCTCGGTACACCATGGAAGAGACGGAGATCATAGAAAGAAGGCCAAAGACTCAACAGTCTAGCCCTTCGGTAGCAGGTCGGAAGGAGAGGCCCGTCTTTTTCGTACACATCAGCTGGTTTGTCATGTCCCAATTAGCACTGGGTCGTTCAGTACTTGAGCTACGAGCTGCACCCCCCTTACCTTCCCAACACTGGCCAATTTCATCCGAACCAGTTGGCTTCATCATGACCGGCAGCTTTGCCTACAACTTCGTTGACACCCTTGCCGGTGTCACTGACTTGTTGCACAACATGGCCCAAGTTCATCTGATCCTCCGTCAACGTGTGTGGCCCTTGGGGGGATGGACCCCAGAGGTATCAGTTCAACACCTTCTCCGTCTCGAGCTTCTCCGTCTCGAGCTTCTCCGTCTCGAGCTTCTCCGTCTCGAGCTTCTCCGTCTCGAGCTTCTCCGTCTCGAGCTTCTCCGTCTCGAGCTTCTCCGTCTCGAGCTTCTCCGTCTCGAGCTTCTCCGTCTCGAGCTTCTCCGTCTCGAGCTTCTCCTTGTCGAGAAAACGGTGACAGTCGGCCAGGAGCATCTCGTCACGGCCAGGGTCCTCCGGCGTGGCAACCAGATCCTCGGCGGCAAGGAGATTTCTCATGGCTTCACTATGCGATGGGTGGGGGTCATCGTACGCCGAGGGGCATTTGAAGGCGACGTGATCGCTCATGGAGTACACGAAGCCGCCGGCTCCCATCGTGATGCATGAACCAAAAGTGAGAGAGCGAAAGGGCTTCCGCACACAGGTGGTCATGGTTGATCGTAGTACTGTTCGATGATCGAACAGTAAGGCACTGAACGCAAGGGGACGAGAATCGGGCTAGGACAGACACCATAGTGTACCCAAGGCTACGATATAGCTCCTACTGACTGACTGCATCACTGGAGTTGTGGTCTCGCGAGTTGTGGTCTCGCGCGTTCTCTTCCTCTTTTCTGCATGAGAAATGAAAATCATAATTGCATATGAAATAGGGTTCAAGTGTGGATGTATGGTCAAAACGAGGTACTCTTGAATCTTCACTTCTGCGTCACTGCCAGATGCATACCCCTATATATGTATGTCACACAAGCCTCCTTTAGATGCATTGTCATCCCATCCCCAGCATGCACCTATCTCATCGCCGATATCGAATCATGCGATCCGGCGCAAACAGAACGACTCGACATCAACCAACAGTCGCCAGGCAGTCAACGCCATCCAGCACGCTCGTTACAATTGTTCAAAATGGTACTGTACACCCCGTCGTACAACCTGCTCGGATTGCACTAACTTAACACGCACAGGCCGACAAGCTTCGCACGCAGCAGGAGCTCGAGCGGCTCCAGTCCAAGTTCATCGGCACCGGCCACCCCGACACGACGAGCTGGGAGTGGAAGACCAACATCCACCGCGACACGTACGCCTCCATCGTCGGCCACCCGCCCATGCTCGCCTACATTGCGCTCGCCGAGAACGAGCCCGTGCATCTCGTGCGGGCGCGCCTCATCCGAGTAGGTTTTTTAAACGATAAGCCTTTGAGGTTTGGCAGATGATGCGGGGCTGACGTTGGGTTGTGATAGAAAATGCTGCAGCCCGCCGGTGCGCCGCCGCAGCGGGACAACGAGTAGGCAGAGGAGGGGATGATGGGGGGTGTTCATCTGAACAAGGATCGCGTGCATAGGAAGACCGGAATGGCGTTGAGGCGAACACCAAGTCACTGTAGAACGTGGGACTCACTGTACAGGGTAGCATGTGGGCATAGATACTAGGTGCCAGGGAAATCATTTCATATTCTTCATTCAACGTTATTCTTTCTCAGAGAATGTCCGCAAAGGGACCAGATTATTTGTCGTCGTCATCATGCGTAGCGCCCGCCGTTCCCCGACATGTCCACAGCCGGCGTCCCCTCGTCGCCCTCGCCCTCGCCCGTGGCAGCAGCAGCAGCAGCAGCAGCAGCAGGCTCCTTGATAGGGAAGCTGGCGCGAATCTTCCTCTCGAGCTCGTCCGCCGCCTGCCCGCCCTCCTGCGGGCCCCAGACACGCCGCACGAGGCCGCTGGCGCCATGGGGCCCGACCTCCTCGTGGGCGCGCGGGCCGACGTACCAGGTCGTCTTGTCGAGGGCGTCGTGGGCCTGGCTCGCGACGTCGCGCTGCACGAGCTTGACGAGGTAGCCCTGGGCCTGCATGCGCTTGAGCACGTCGTCGGTCGGCTCGGTGCCGACGTTGTCCTCGGCGTTGAGGCGGTGCAGGTGGCGGCGCAGCTTGGCGTCGCTGAGCTCGCCGCCGCTGAGCAGGATGATGGTGGTGAGGAGGGTGTAGAAGGCGACGTAGGCGGCCTCGGCGTCGGCGTCGGGCGTCTTGGACGGGCTCAGGATGGCGGGGGCGCGGTAGGCGGGCGGCAGCGTCGACGAGAGGACGTAGAGGCCGCTGCTCGTCTTGGCCTGGGATTGTGATTTGATGGCTGGCGAGTCAGTCAGAGGAAACAGAGAAGGAAAGGAAGAGGGCAAGACAAAGCTACCTCTGCGCTTCTCCTCGAGCGAGTGCTTCTCCCGCATCGGCAGCTCGCGCAGCTCCATGCCCCAGACGTCGCGCAGCATCCCCTGAGCAGCGTCGAACACGCGGCGAAAGGCCCTACCCTGGTCGCCGAGAACCCGCTCCTTGATGCCGTCTCGGCGGATGGGCTGGCGGGCGTAGTCGCAGGCCATGGCGTAGCGGATCAGCTTCTTGGCGAGCTGCTGGTCGGCCGTGGGTTCGGCGTCGATGCGCGAGACGTCTGCGCCGTCGTCGTCGTCGTCTGGATCTTGGTCTGCGTCTTGGTCTGCGTCTTGGTCTGCGTCTGCATCGTCTTGTGCGGAGCTCTCGCGCGTCCTTCGCTGGCGCGGTCGCTGGTCGTCATCGGCGTCGTCTACCTGTATGTCTGGGTCAGTGTGGCCGCTGCTGGGAGGTGGGGTATTGGCATACCTCTCGTCGTCTCCTGCTGCCGGCCGGCATTGTGTTTTTTTTTCTTTCTCTCTGCTTGATAAATTGAAGGAAGATGGTTCCTTGACAATCAGCAGTCAGGGAGCAGCATCATGATGCTCGTCGTCCCGTCGTCCCGTCGTCTCGTCTCGACAGTGACCGCGTCGCGCGTTGAGAGGTGTGGGGCCTCGAACAAAAGTCTTATCTTATCACTCACATGCCCCTTCCTGGGAGTACGAGGCTGATAATGCAATGCAATGAGGGTATTCGCCTGGTGAAGGCATGTAGCAGTGAAAGTTTACCAGATACTCATTTTTCGGCTGAGATAACTGAACCAATACAATAACCGACTTGAACCCCCATCACTTATGCAATTCTGCTGGCATCGTTGGCAATTCCTGTTGATTCCCATTTCTCTTCCGCCTTGGGCAGGCAAAGGCAGGGCAAAATTTCGGGAGCTCAAGGCTTGACTTGACCCTCGACTCCTGAGCCTGAGCTCTGAGCTCGACCCAACGGACAAGAAGACACCAACCAAGACAGTCCCGATGATCTCCAGAGCCGCCAAGGCCCGCGGTGTCTGCCTTCCATGCCAACTGAGGCGCCTCGCCGGCTCGCAGCCCAGGGCACCGCCGAGAATCAGCGCCCACCCCCTTCGCATCGCCTCAGCTCGCCAGCTGCGTCTCTACAGTTCCGAAACCCCCTGGGAGCGCCTCGAATCAGCCAAAGACGTTCTCGAGAAGAAGACGAAACCGGCGAGGCCTCCTTCCAAAGACGATGCCTTGGCGTGGACCGTCGAGGCTGACAGCGAGGCCGACAGCGAAGCCGCACAAGACAGTCTCGCCAATACCACTGTGACGCGGCCCCCCTCGAAAGACGACTCGCTGGAATGGCTCGACCAGCTTGAGCCCTCTGGGCCTGAAGAGTACCTCGAACCAGAGTACCTCGAACCAGAGTCCGACCGCCGCCGAGAACCAAGACGGCGCACGGCGCGCGGCGCCTCTGCCAACTACACACCCCGAGACGTCGACGCCGCGCCAGACGGCCGGCCTCCGCAGCCAGGCGAAACAAAGGAGAGGGTCCATCACGGACGCATCGGCCACCGCCGCGTCACGCTGCAGCCCGAGGCGCTGGACGTCGAGATTCTCGGCCAGAGGGCGCACACCATTGTCATGCGGGACAACCTGCGACCGAAGCCGCGGCGCGCCATCGAGGAGGCCGCCGAGGAGGCCGCAATGACCGAAGAGGAGGCCGACGCCGCCATGCGCGCCAGGGTCGACGCCCTCATGGACAGGGCGTCGCCGGACGAGGCCCTCGCCAACATGGAGGAGCTGCGCCCGCAGACGCGCCTGCTGTCGGCCAACGAGTTCTGGGCGCTGCACGACGTGCTCTGCGAGGGCTTCACCAGCGCCCAGCTGGCCCATTACGTGCGCGCCAACAAGAGGACGGCGCCGCTGGCACGGGGCTCTTCGTCGGCGGCGGACGTACGGCCGCCCCGGTCTTGGATGGCACGTCCCTATGCCCTGCGGCCTGTCGAGGACCTGCAGCTGCCCGCCGGCGCCTCGGTCAAGTCCCGTGCCGTCTTTACGCTCATGCGGACGACGTGGATGCTGGACATATGGGAGCGCGTCGAGGCTCTCAACGAGGTCGACATCGTCTTCAAGGACCCCTCCGTGGCTGCCGCTCTGCACACCGGCCGTGAGTTGTCCTGCCCCAGAAAAACACGACGCTCGTCACTCTGACTAACGACACACTCACAGACGAGGGTCTCGATCGCATCGGCCGTCTGAGGCGCGAGCTCCTCCAGGCCGGCGAGTCGCTGACCTTTGGAGACGCTTCGGCGCAGCTGCGCATCGTCGCGAGACGGGCGGCGGCCGAGGCCATCATTGACAGCATCGACGGCCTCGTCGCGGCCGTCTCGACCGAATCCTTTGTGCTGTGCCCGCCCCGGTCTGCCAAGACGGACGCCGGTGCCACCTTGAGGGACACTCTGCACGAGCTGGGACGCCTGACCAAGACGACGCTCGTGCTGGAGGACTCTGGACTGGTGCGTTCGCCTCTTCTGCCTCTGCCTCTGCCTCTGCCTCTGCCTCTGCCTCTTCTGCCCTATAGACACCCGTGCTAACGCCCTCAGGTACGCGTCAAGTGGATCAAGTCACAAAACGATCTGGAGCTGGGTGGACACCATCTCGAGCACATGGGCCACATTCTCTGGCGCCTCTTGTACACGGCGCACGCTCAGACGCCCTCGACCGCCCTCCTCGCCCAAGACTTCATCTCCGCCAGCGGCGTCCTGAACCCCGTGGCCAACGCCGAGGACCGATGGCCGTGGAAGAACAGACTCGGCGACTGGTCGCGCTGGATCCTGCCGGTGACCCGTGATGCCGACGCCCTCGTCAGCACGCAGGCCCTGGTCGATCGCCTGCCCACCATGATCGAGCGCGCCACGCCCGAGCCTGAGACGAGCAGCGACCCAAACACGCCATGGAGTGCCTTTGAGCAGAACGTCTCGACGACCTTTGGCCATGTCCTCTTCGACCACGACAACGGAACGCTCGACGTCAAGAACCTCCAGACCCAGGATGACGGAGTGGCCGTGCTTGCACCCGCCAAGGACGGCGTGTCCCGACAGCGCATCTTCTCCGCCGTCGTGCCGAGCCCCGCCGGCCTCGCCGCTCTCAACAATCTAGCGCCTGCGACCCCTGCGTCGACCACCATGATCCTCCGCTTCGCCACGAGCCCAGCCTCGACAGGCGCGCGATACCTTTTCGACCCCGCCGACGGCGCGACGCAGATCCACGCATCCACTGCTCCGGCCTCCCATCTCGAGATTCATGTCGCCGTGCCGGACGAGCTCCCCGCCGATGGCCGCCTCACCTGGGACGCCAGCCCGACGAAACACGTCCGCGCCATCTCCAACGAATCTCTCATCGACGTGCCCCTGCCAGACCGCCCCGTCGACCTGCGCCTCGCCACGACGTCCGTCTCGTCGCTCATTGATGTCGACGCCGTGCCGGCGCTGCGCGCCTTCATCGACGCCTCCCATCTCGACCTCGTCTCCGGCAACCTCCGCACGCCGCCACGCCTGTTCATCCCCGAGGACCAGCTCGCGCCGCTCGCGCAGTCGTCTGCCGAGGGCCGCGACGCCCCAAGCAGCCGCACCGGCCGCAAGCCCAAGGCCGCGGACGACGTGTTTGCGCACCGCAGCGGGTGCAGGACGTTTGAGTTTCTCGGCCTCGAGGTGCGCCGCGCCGTCGAGCTCGACTACGAGGGACACAAGCTCCGATACGCCAGCGTCGAGGCTGGTCTGCACGGCGGACGGCGCGCTGAGCTGGCGCTCGACATGGGCTTGCTTGGGAAGGGCGGCGACGAGGCGGAGCACAGGGCGCGCTATGTTGGGTTGGCGCGACGGCTTGCTGACGGGGAGCTTGTGACGTGGGCGCAGGGGGGGCGGGCTGTGGGCGAGACGGAGCTGGGGCTTGGGGACGAGCTGGTTCTGACCGGGCCTGTGGAGCACGAAGCAGAGCAGCCGGTTTTGGAGGAGAGAGTTTCAGAGGACGCAGAGGAGTCGACTCTTGGTGAGAGACTTGCAGACCATGAAGCGGAGGAGCCGCTGGGAGAGCGGCAGCAAGACGGCGAGCGGCAGGTGGCGCACGAAACGGAGCATGCCAGGGAGCATGTTCCCCGGTAGGAGTATCGGGAACCTGATGACGAGTCAAGACTGTACCATTATGTAACTCATAGATTTCTGTATCATCTGTACATCACGCTGTAATTATATCATCATACGACGACGAGCACATGGCGAAGACTGTCAAGGGGGCAGATGAAGCCGCGCTCCAAGTTGGCCAAACACAAGTATCATCCAGAAGACTCTTAACTTCGGAACCTCCTCCTATATCATGTCTGAATTGAAAGCTCTGGAATTCTTCTATTTACCAAATCATCGGTGACACTTTCAGAGCAAAGTTATTTCTATTCGTTTTGAGCTGGTGTAAAGTACGGGAGAACGGTTCAAATTGAGCTCACCTCCGAGGTTATGGCCTTTTCCCCCCTTGCCTGTGAATTGGTCATCTTGGTTTCAGCTTTACGTGATGTCTCACGACCAACGCCTTATTCGACATTGACATTTCACGCCTACTGTACCTTTGCCTTTCGTACCACGCAAGACTTTGGATGTCGTGGTTGTGTACCTCGGGAAATGTCATCATTAGTCTCTTGCACTCAGACCCGACGACTGAAGGGCCCGTCGGATGGGCTACCTTCTGTCGGGGTAGGCATCCTGACTGACGCCCTCACAATTTCGGATCGGTGTGGCTTTCAAGGTCACCTTCACGACAGGCAGCCCACATGCCAGCCACTGGCGGCTCTCTCGTTTCGACATACTGGGTCGACTCTTCGCTGATGTCTCACTTCAACAACAAGGTGTGGCGAATCTTGGGTCGGCCGTGGCCTCGAAGATTGTGCTTCCAAGGGATGACGATGGGGAGAATGGAAAGGTAGACATGTGACCGCTGGAAGAAGGCCACTGAGTGCTTGCCGTCAAATTGACGGTGAGGTCGAGAGTGGCATCGAGCAGCTCAGGTGGCATCACGCCAAACGCAACCACTGCCATATTGCAAGTCACCAGGATCGCGGCATGAGCTGTGCCACTTGGACCAAATTGTATTGACAGCTCGGACACCACGCTGGAGCGTCACACTCACTACGCTTCAACGTCACTCGGCAATCGAACACATCACCAACAAAGGAACCAATGGGGGGGAATCACTTCTAGGGACTCTATTTTGTTGTACCAAAGCACTTTTCATGAGAGATTCCGGCGACGCAGAATAAAAACTGATCCCTTCCTCTCATAACGTGCCCCAAAAACAACCGAGTCCTCACGCATAGCAAAGGAGAATCGTAGAGTCGTAGAAGTGAGCGCTTCCGATCGTCCAAACGTCATAAGCCGTCTTGCGACCCATCATTTTGATTTCGATGGGAAGACCGCTTATTTCTTGGCGGCCTTGGCAGCGGACTTGGTGACCTGGAGGGTAGAGTGTGTGAGCAGAGGCATGGACGAGGAAGGGGAAGCAGTAAAAGAACATACCTTGCCAGCGGCGCCAGTGGACTTCTCGACGGCCTTGATGACACCGACAGCGACGGTCTGACGCATGTCACGGACGGCGAAACGACCCAGGGGAGGGTAGTCAGTGAAGGCCTCGACGCACATGGGCTTGGAGGGAATCATCTTGACGATGGCGGCGTCACCAGACTTGATGAACTTGGGGGAAGCCTCAACGGACTTGCCGGTACGGCGGTCGATCTTCTCGAGAAGCTCGGCGAACTTGCAGGCAATGTGGGCGGTGTGGCAGTCGAGGACGGGGGCGTAGCCGGCACCGACCTGACCGGGGTGGTTGAGGACGATGACCTGGGCGGTGAAAGAAGCGGCGCCCTGGGGGGGGTCGTTCTTGGAGTCACCGGCGACGTTGCCACGACGAATGTCCTTGACGGACACGTTCTTCACGTTGAAGCCGACGTTGTCACCGGGGAGACCCTCGGAGAGCTGCTCGTGGTGCATCTCGACCGACTTGACTTCAGTGGTGACGTTGGCGGGAGCGAAGGTGACGACCATGCCGGGCTTGAGGACACCAGTCTCGATACGGCCGACGGGAACAGTTCCAATACCGCCGATCTTGTAGACATCCTGAAGGGGAAGACGCAGGGGCTTGTCGGTGGGACGCTTGGGCTGCTCGATGGCGTCAATGGCCTCGAGGAGGGTCTTGCCGGTGGACTTGACACCCTTGGCGCCCTCCTTCTCCCAGCCCTTGTACCAGGGGCAGTTGGTGGAGGGCTGAAGCATGTTGTCGCCGTTGAAGCCGGAGATGGGGACGAAGGCGACAGTCTTGGGGTTGTAGCCGACCTTCTTGATGAAGTTGGTGGTCTCCTTGATGATCTCAGTGAAACGCTCCTCGGACCACTTGGTGGTGTCCATCTTGTTGATGGCGACGATGAGCTGCTTGACACCGAGGGTGTAGGCGAGCAGAGCGTGCTCACGAGTCTGGCCATCCTTGGAGATACCAGCCTCGAACTCACCAGTGCCGGCGGCAATGATGAGAATGGCGCAATCGGCCTGGGAAGTGCCAGTAATCATGTTCTTGATGAAGTCACGGTGGCCGGGGGCGTCTGTCTAGCGTCAGTCTCTGGTTGGCTGATCGCGGGTTGGGCCCTCTGAGCTCAAATGTTGATTTCTCAACACCAAGACTTCAGAATTCTCCCAAATCACCAGAATTTGTTTCTTGAACTCACCAATGACTGTCACCATGTATTTCGGTGTTTCAAACTTCCACAGTGCGATATCAATGGTGATGCCACGCTCACGCTCGGCCTTGAGCTTGTCAAGAACCCAGGCATACTTGAAGGAACCCTTGCCAAGTTCGGCGGCCTTGTGGGTGTTAGTGGGGTCCCGGGACAACGGAGAGAGCATAAAAGAATGGAATCAAAGGGGAACAAGGGGGAGACAATGGCTGATCGTCATGGACAATCAAACCGTCCTCAATGAGGTTGGTGGTGATGATCCATAAGATCAGCCGGGGATAGCGTGTGGCGCGTGACCGGGGCATGCAGAGCCGAAACAACTGGCAGCAGGGTTTGAACAATCTGTAAAACGTACCTTCCTTGTAAGAGGGAGTTAGCTGAGCGTTCATACAAGTGAGATGGAGCAAACTGAACAAGATTGTGGTGATGGAGAGGACGGAGTTGTGGTGTTGTGGAGAAAGTGGGGCCGGACGGTGAATGTTGGTAGTTCGGCCCCAGGTGGGGCAAAATCACCCCGCCATGACCGAAAACTGCGCAAAATCACCGCCAACCCGTCGGAAACCATGAAAACATGGTATTTTCTTGGAATCAAAGGGAATTATGTGTAGATTCAAGCAGGGGTTCCACTTATCTCAAACTTCTCAATCGTACGCTTGTCGATACCGCCGCACTGGTAGATCAAGTGACCGGTGGTGGTCGACTTGCCAGAGTCGACGTGGCCGATGACGACGACGTTGATGTGAGCCTTCTCTTCCTTGCCCATCTTGACGATGTGTGTGATTGAGGAGGTATGTGTTGGTTTTGGGGTGTGATAGTCTGCAGGAATATCGCGTTAGTCGTCTGTCTCCGGCTCTAGTATTGCCGTCGTCGTCGTCCGGTGGAAGCGCGTAGTTGCCACAACAGAGGCAGAACCACGACTTTGGTTGTCGTAACAGGTTCAGATGATGAGAATGTCTGGGGCTGAAGACGAGTTGCTGGCACTTACTTAGCTGGCAGAGAGGGAGCTTGTCCTGAAGGTATGCCGACGAGGGGGGAAAACAGGAAAGAAGAGGTTGTGTGCGGAGGGGTGGGAGGGGGATTATAAGAAAGAAAAAGGAGGGGCAGATAGAGGGGCAGAAGCCTGGTTTGTTTAGTGAAGAGTTTTACAATTTGTGTGGGTCTGACCATGCAGCTCGTCCAACAACACTTGGGTTTCGCCCTCCCATCCACACCAGCACCAGCGCCTTTTCGAGCCGACACCAGCCAGATTCAGACTGACACGCGCCGCCGCCCCCCCTCGAGGTACAAAGGTGCCCATGCAACACACAGACCAGAGCCCGTCGAGCCCTCATGCCATGCCCACAGAGGAAATGTGTAATACCTTGGGAGCCCTACCTCACTGTCATCGAGCCCGCGCCCACCAGACATCATCACGTCTTGGGCGTGTCATCATGCTCTGGGCTACGGAGCATTGGGCTACGGAGCATGGAGCACAAGTCACTGTACACTGCTGTGCTGTCGTCGATTGTGCTTGTGCGCGCTTACATTTACTGGCGGCCATTCTCTCGACGACTGCATGGAGGGGACGGCATCATCATGTTGGATGGAGACGGCGACGACAGGTCATGCATGCCACATAAATTTCGCAGGCGCTGACATCACATAGCCCAAACCCGGACGATCTACGTTAGTTTTTTTGGTGGGGTACTGGGAGGCGACGCCGATAGCCCTGTGCGACACACACACACCCTGACAACAAGATTTGTTCGCTGGTTTTGTGCTGCCGGGGGTGCTTCCTCCACCCGAGTGGCGTGGTCTATTCTGGCGGCGGTGGCGGCGACCAGGGTGCGCAAAGTTGTTGGCAGAGCAATGGCTTCGGCTTTGTCGACTGGAGCGGGAGCGCATCCAGCAAGGTCGTCAGGAATGAAGCAACACGAGTCGAGAGTTTCATCAACACGATTGAGCATCCCCCCTCGAGTCCCTTGCTGTGTGCGATGGCCTAGGACAAACCCACGTCATCCGGCCACCACTCCGTACAGCTTTCATTCACTCTCTTCGATCACGCTCTCGTCTTCCTCCAGCGCTGAGCGTCGCGAGGATGGATGCCTTGGCGTGAGTCAGACCGTTCCGGCGCATTGCGACGGCCATGGTTGGGCTGGGAAGCACCACGGCTGGGCCAGGCCGCCCCGAGTTGGGCAGGGAGGATGGAGATGGAGGGGGGGAGGCCTGGTCAGCCCTTGCATTTGCCGCCCTCCACAACAGACAGCTCCATTTTCCGTCTAAGCGCCCGAGATAACGAACAAGTGGTCGCAACGCGCGACGCATCACTGCCTGGAAGCGAAATGAATGCTGAACGAGCTGGCTCTGTGAGAGTGCGGGATGGTCTCGATACTGCGACCACACGTTGCGTTTGTTGCAGGGGCGATGCGTTCCGGGAGGCCAAAGGATGCCTCATACTGCATTCAATGCAGTCGGCATGTTCCTCATCTCTACCATGAGCAAGAGTCCCTGCCATGAACAAGAAGCTCCACAGCATTGCAATCTCGGGAAGTGCCTCCATCGACGGCGGATCAGCGCGAACAATTGTCGCGATGATGGCGATGATGAGGGGCGGGGCAGCCGCGGGGTAACTTCAGCCATCATCGCACCCAAGAAACGCATGCACCTCGTGTTGTCGCCACCAAAGGAGTTTTGTCTGGCCGTTGCATCGCCACAGGGAGGATCCTCATTCGAACACATCCTCCCATTCTGGAACGAAGCCTCCGTCGCACAACCGCTGGCGTGACGAACCGTGGTCCCCTCCCTTATCCCGAAAACAGCGCTGCCTTTTTTTTTTCCTCTCTCTCCCCCTCTTTTCGTTGTCGTCGGGCGAGCCAGGGGGGGGTGGCCACCCTGGTCGGGACGGGCGCTGTCCAGATCCCCGGACACATGTCGCAGGTCGCATGCCAAGCATTCACTGTGAGAATTCACACGGGTTGGCGGTTCAGGTTCTTGCCACTGTGCACGAACGAGGCCCGCACACGTCAGCCACATGTCGCAGTATGCAATATACGATGGGGCATCATGTTTGTCTTCGTCGCAGTCGTTCAAGGGATCCATTCACCGTCTGGCGCGGGCGGCAGATCTGCCGAGGGAGGCTCTTGCCAAGGACGTCGCTTTTGGACATGACCAGGATCATTCTGAGGCGTTCCTGGATGAAGCATCGAATTGGACAGTTGTAGAGGGCCGCGGTGTCAAGGCATTCACGCCTCAGCGGTCGGACCAGTCTATTCGATCGGTGGCTAGTCTGCAAGCTTCGCCCTCTGGAGGATGCTTCAACGGTGGCTTAAACACTCAAATTCCTATCCATGACCTCCACAAAGCGTGGCTGCTACTGAAGCTCACCATCACCCAAAACTTGCTTCATCTCAACGTCAAGGCGTCAGTAACACAAGGCAGCTGGCGATCTTGGAGCCACGCGACGTCTCTTGAGTGGCAGAAACTCGGGATTAACTCAGTAAACTATTTCGGGTCTTCCCAATCATATCGTCCTATCCACTGCTTTGTGACACTTTTTTTTGGCGGCCACAATGGGTTGCCCATCTCAACATTCGTGACAGGACCTGGGCCGTGTCCAAGTGGCGCCAGCTGGCGGTCCAGAAGCCACGTACCTCCCACCTCCCATCACGTGACGGCCAACGCGCACCCGCCAAATCATCGACGGGATCCCCTGAAGCTGATCTGTCCAGACAGACCATCAACGACGACCTTCCACTCGCCCTCGCCAAACCTGTCGCCCACCATGAGCTACGGCAAGAAGGACGAAGACGCCGAACTTGGGCTGGTCAAGGTCGACAGGACCCAGGTTTTCCAGGAAGGTGAGCGCGCAATTGGCATCCCCTCGTCCCCCTCCTCCTGGGGCCCCTAGCTGGGCCAGTCTGGCTGATACCGCCTTTAGCACGACTGTTCAACAGCTCCCCCATCCAGCCGCGACGATGCCGAATCCTTCTCACCAAGATTGCCCTCCTCCTCTACACGGGGGAGAAGTTCCCGACGAATGAAGCCACGACCCTCTTCTTTGGCATTTCGAAGCTCTTCCAGAACAAAGATGCTAGCTTGCGACAGATGGTCCACCTTGTCATCAAGGAGCTGGCGAACTCGGCCGAAGACATTATCATGGTGACGAGCACCATTATGAAGGACACCGGAGGCAGCACCGAGGCCATTTTCCGCCCCAACGCCATCCGTGCTCTGTGCCGCATCATCGATGTACGAACTCGATGCAACCGCCCCTACGTTGAGCGCCGGTGGGGAGCTCCCAGCTAACGTGTGCTTTCCCAGGCTACGACCGTCCAGTCCATCGAGCGTGTCATGAAGACGGCCATTGTCGACAAGAACCCCTCCGTAGCCTCCGCCGCTCTCGTTTCCTCCTATCACCTCCTCCCGATCGCCAAGGACGTCGTCCGCCGCTGGCAGAGCGAGACGCAAGAGGCCGCTGCCACGACCAAGTCGTCCAGCGGCTTCTCCCTCGGCTTCTCCTCCTCCCATAACCAGCTCCCCGTCAACAACTCGACCATGCCGCAATACCATGCCATCGGTCTCCTGTACCAGATGCGCATGCACGACCGCATGGCCCTCGTCAAGATGGTGCAGCAGTTTGGTGCCGCCGGCGCTGTCAAGAGCTCGGCCGCCATTGTCCTCCTGGTCCGTCTTGCTGCCCAGCTGGCTGAAGAGGACGCGTCTCTGCGCAAGCCCATGATGCAGCTCCTCGACGGATGGCTGCGCCACAAGAGTGAGATGGTCAACTTCGAGGCCGCCAAGGCCATCTGCGACATGCGGGATGTGACCGACGCCGAGGTCTCCCAGGCCGTCCACGTCCTCCAGCTGTTCCTCACCTCGCCCCGCGCCGTCACCAAGTTCGCCGCGCTCCGCATCCTCCACAACTTTGCCTCGTTCAAGCCCAACGCTGTCAACGTGTGCAACCCCGACATTGAGCTGCTCATCTCCAACAGCAACCGCTCGATCGCCACCTTTGCGATCACGACCCTGCTCAAGACTGGAAACGAGGCCAGCGTGGATCGCCTCATGAAGCACATCTCGAGCTTCATGTCGGAGATTACGGACGAGTTCAAGATCACCATTGTCGAGGCCATCCGTACGCTCTGCCTCAAGTTCCCCAGCAAACAGGCCGGCATGCTTGCCTTCCTCAGCGGCATTCTTCGCGACGAGGGCGGCTACGAGTTCAAGCGCGCCGTCGTCGAGAGCATGTTTGACCTCATCAAGTTTGTGCCGGAATCAAAGGAGGATGCGCTGGCCCACCTCTGCGAATTCATCGAGGACTGCGAGTTCACCAAGCTGGCCGTCCGCATCCTGCACCTGCTCGGTCTCGAAGGTCCCAAGACGTCCCAACCGACAAAGTACATTCGCTACATCTACAACCGTGTCGTTCTCGAGAACGCCATTGTGCGCGCCGCCGCCGTCACGGCCCTCGCCAAGTTTGGCGTCGGACAGAAGGACCCCGAGGTCAAGCGCAGCGTCGACGTGCTGCTCACGAGGTGTCTGGACGATGTGGACGACGAAGTCAGAGATCGTGCTGCTCTCAACCTCAGTCTCATGCACGAGGACGACGAGCTCGCGACGCAGTTTGTCAAGAACGGTAAGCCAGACGCTGGTAACGAGGTGGAACCACAGACTAACAAGTCACAGACAGCATGTTCTCCCTGCCGTACTTTGAGCACCAGCTCGTCATGTACGTCACGTCCGACGACAGGTCGACCTTTGACGACCCCTTCGACATTTCGAAGATTCCCGTCGTCACCAGGGAGCAGGCCGACGCCGAGGACAGGACCAAGAAGCTCACGGCGACGGCCCCCTCGCTCAAGCCTCCCAAGGTCGGCCCCACCAAGAGCGCGGCATCGGGCGCCGAGGCGGCTGCGTCTGCCTCGGCGGCCGCGCAGCGGTACGCGCAGGAGCTCATGGAGATCCCCGAGATGAAGGAGTTTGGCAGCGTGCTCAAGTCATCGCCTGTCATTGAGCTCACCGAGGCCGAGACGGAGTACGTCGTCACGGTGGTCAAGCACATTTTCAAGGAGCACATTGTCCTGCAGTACGAGGTCAAGAACACGCTGCCGGCGACGGTGCTCGAGAACGTGTCGGTCGTGGCGACGCCGGCCGAGGAGGAGGAGCTCGAGGAGGTGTTCATCATCCAGGCCGAGAGCCTCGCCACGGACGAGCCGGGCAAGGTGTACGTAGCCTTCCAGAAGGTCAACGGCGAGGGCTCGCTGCCCGTCAGCAGCTTCTCCAACATTCTCAAGTTCACGAGCAAGGAGATTGACCCGACGACGAACGAGCCGGAGGAGACGGGCTACGATGACGAGTACGAGGTGTCGGAATTTGACCTCGCGGGCAGCGACTACGTCGTGCCCGCCTTTGCCGGCAACTTCAACCACATCTGGGAGCAGGTGGGCGCGGCGGGCGAGGAGGCGGAGGAGACGCTGCAACTGAGCGGCATGAAGAGCATCGCGGGTATGTTGCTGGCGCCTCGACGGCGTGTGACGATGGACAAGATGCTGACAGACTGCAGACGCGACGGACCAGCTGGCCAAGACGCTGTCTCTACAGCCACTGGACGGCACGGACGTGCCGGTCAACCAGACGACGCACACGCTGAAGCTGTTTGGCAAGACGATTGCGGGCGGCAAGGTGGTGGCGAACGTGAGGATGGCGTACTCGTCCAAGTCTGGTGTGACGACGAAGATTACGGTGCGCAGCGAGGAGGAGGGCGTGGCGGCGCTGGTGATTGCCTCTGTCGCGTGAGGGGCTTCGGCTGGCGTGTAGGAGAGCGTGGGCGTGCAGGAGAGCGTGGGCGTGTAGGGGATCGCGCGCTGCAGGGCGTCGAAGAGGGAGCCAGACGAATCCAGGTGGCGGCGATGCGTACCAGAAGCAGGTTGACCCTCGGTATCAAAAGGGTGGTCTGGGAAAAGCGTCGTGATGGAGGTGGTTGTGTTGGAGTGAAGAACGAAGCTGTCATGAGCGTCTTTTCGCGCAGGGAAGCCGTTGTCCGTCTCGTTTCGATCTTGTGATGCGTCACCGTGACCGAGAGTCTTGGCTCCACGGTGGTGTCCCAGTGTCCAGTCCCAGTCCCAGTCCCAGTCCCAGTCCCAGTCCCAGTCCCAATCCCAATCCCAATCCCAATCCCAGTGTCCCATGCCCCATGCTGTGACCTGTTGTCGTTCTCGAACAAGTACGACAAGAGGGTTGTGTGGGGTGACGCCAAGCCCGGACCGGGACATGACGTCGACTGTCAGTGGCTGCGGCTTCCGCTGGGTGCCCCTGCCCCAGGGCCTTGTCCAAGAAAAATGCACGCGCGACAGGACACGCCAACATACACATGTCAAAAGGAGCCCACCACCACCACCTCTCTCGTCAACCAACCCAACCTCTCCCCCCTCGGTCCAGCCCACGCTGCAAACTGCGTCTGCCAACACGTCGTGAGTATGGCCCCGAAGCTCTCGCATTCAACCCTCTTGTTTCTTTTCTCTGCTAATGTCTTGTCTCGCTGCAGACTGTCTCGCCAGGTCGCGCACCTCGAACACCCCCCCCTTACAGCTGTCGAGAACTCAGAACCGCATCCATCAGTCTGCCCCGGGCAGCCAAGCCGACAAGATGGTCTACGTTCGCCAGGAGTTCCTGCCGAACCTCAAGGAGTACAAGTATGCGTCGGTCGACCAGTCGTTGACGTCCAAGTACATCCTCAAGCCCTTTTACACCCACTTTGTCATCAAGCTCTTCCCCATGAGCATGGCGCCCAACCTCATCACGCTGTCGGGCTTCAGCTTCATCATCGCCAACATCCTGACGCTGCTGTGGTACAACCCCACGCTCGACCAGGACTGCCCTTCGTGGGTGTACTACTCGTGGGCTGCGGGCCTGTTCCTGTACCAGACGTTTGATGCCGTCGACGGATCGCAGGCGTAAGTGTGCCGCCTCCTCTGCATAGGCCCGAGGAGGAGACCCACTGACACATGGACACACCAGGCGCCGCACCAGACAGAGCGGCCCTCTCGGCGAGCTCTTCGACCACGGCGTCGATGCTCTCAACACGTCGCTCGGCGCCCTCATCTTTGCTGGGT